AACAGGCTCCAGGCTCTGAGCCATCAGCCCAGAGCCTGACGCGGGGCTCGAACTCACGGACCGCGAGATCGTGACCTGGCTGAAGTCGGACGCTTAACCGACGGCGCCACCCAGGCGCCCCTCTCCTATTATTTTAATATAAACTTCCTTCTCTTCCACCCTTACAGATGCTTTATATTCCTGTTGCCTAAAAAATATCTGCCACATAGAACATGATTGACGTTAATGGAATATATTGAAGCTGATGAGAGAGATTACTGGTTTGGCTTTTCAGATGTTAATTTCGAGAAGTAGCTGTTTTGCAACTGATTTCTTACTCAATGAGCAAAACGCATTGCATGCAGATGGGCACAAGTGAGCAAAACTCACAGTTGGACTTGCAAAAATTATCCATAAGCAAATATTTTTTTACAAAGATGAACCAAAAAGATTTTTTTCAAAATCAGTACATTGCTAAGAAACGACTGCTCACTTGTTTCCTACTGGTATGAAGCTTAGTTGTTTATATTGTGCAGCTTAGATAACTTAACTACAAAAGTTGTTGCCTGCCTTTTCTCAAAACTAGCTTTGTGAACCTACGTGTGTATGTGTATCTGTGAGAGAGACAGTGAAAGCGAGAAGGAATGTTTGTGAGTATGGGTATGAATATACAGAGCAAAATTGCCTCTTGTTTCAGTGATCACATTATAGAGTTCGCTAAACAATGGCCAGTGCCAATTATATATGTGCACGCAAACACATGAACAGGCCAAGCATGGGGCTCCTTCTAGTGAAATGCAACAGTGTCATGACTTTACTATGATCAATGGAACCCAGGTCTGAGATGTAGAATTCTATCATTAATCACCATCTCTCTTTTATAGGTATACTGACAGGGTATACCATTTGTCATGGAAATTTTTATTAAAAGCTCCAAGCTCTTACAAAAATAATTCATGAATATATCAATTAATCTTTATCCAAAATAATTTCTTTCTTTTCAGTGCTTTAATTCATTTTACTAGTAACCATCTCAATAACAGGCTTATGTGTTTTTAAAATAACCCTCTATAATAGCTCCAAATTTGTGAAAAAAAAATCTCTCTTACAACTATCAATATTTCTGTGACTTTGAAGAGATTCTTGGGTGTGTTTGCTTCCTTTTCTAGAATGTTAGATATAAGCAAAAATTACTTCCAGGTAACAATGTTGACACTAATTAAGTTATTTTTCTGCTCTCAAATAATTACCTGGAATTAAAATTCAGAATAATCTACTTAACTTTCCTGAATTTTTTTTTGTATTATAAAAATACTGACATCTTCTGCCTTGTTCGTTGATGAGACTATCAGTTTTTCACTACTTTGTGAGAACCCTAGCCAAATACTGGCACCGAGGTACAGTCTTATGACAGTTAATAAGGACAGAGTGGACTGGCATAAAAAAAACCATTCTAACCAGCTAATCACAACCAGACAGATAGTAATGAAATATTCAAGAAATGTGACAAAATATCTGTATTGATGATAGAAAACCTGGAAGTGTGTTCTGAAGACATGAAATTGTATTTAGAAGTTGCCCCTCAAATGTATTAACTTCACTTCTTGAGGACTCCAACAATATTTCTGATTTTGTTAACTTGGTTTGGTTTGGGTTTTTACAAATCCTTCTTTAACTCAGACATCTGCACTGAATATTCTTCACTCCTAAGATCCAACATCACTCTCCTAACCAGGACTGTAAACAATCGGACTAAGAAAAAGGAGAGTGCTGTTCCTTTTGTTTACACTGCTTACTTTATATGAAACATATCTCTTACGTAGTATTTTGTTTACTAAAAATTAGTGGTTTTAGGAGAAAACGAAGAAGCTTATTGCCCCTAAGATAAAATTATATGAAAATGTTGAGTCTGTTCTAAATTCAGGCTTTACAATCAAGCTAGAAAAAAGAAGCTCCTTCTGGAGATCAAATTTTTGGCAACACTTTAGGATGGAACTGGTGGCTGTGATACTGGAAAGCTACTGAACAAGAAATAACATCACTTGGGGTTTGCAGCCCAGTGGCAGTTTGTGCCAAACTCCTTCTCTTCATAAATATTTATGAGTGGTCTCTGCCATCTCATTAGAATTTAATTCAAAGACAACAGGTGCAAGCAGTGATTGCTCAAGCTAGGCCAACTAACTTTGTTATTGTGTTCCAAGTTTTACATTTAGAAGAATTTGTAGAGGGTGGTCTCGGTGACTTCTTTGGTTTATTCATTTTATTTTTTAAAACATTGATCGGGCACTTCAGTTTTATTTTTTTAAGCTTATTTATCTATTGGGAGACAGAGAGAGAGCAGGCATGTGTGTCCTCAAGGTGGGGGGGTGCAGAGAGAGAGAGGGAGACAGAGAATCCCAAGCAGCTCTATACTCTCAGTGTGAGCCCAACACGGGGCTTGAACTCATGAACCATGAGATCACAACCCAAGCCGAAATCAAAAGTCAGATACTCGACCAACTGAGCCACCTATGCACCCCTAAAAATGTTGGTTGGGCACTTCTAAATGCTAGTGACTTGCTTCCACTGAGCTATAGTGTAGCTTAAACAACAGACACTAAATGACAGATTATGCAAATAATTATTAAATTACACTTATAAAGAGGGATCTTCCTCATGCAAAGTGTTCGCAGACGTGAGGGTGATTTGGGGTTCACCAGGCCAAGTAGAGTGAAAAAGGGATGGAGGAAGGAGAACCACTCTGGGGAGCTTGAGATGTCTTGATGAGGGCTTTGTGGCAGGATGGTACTTGCTTCTTCCTGAAAGCAGAAGATGAGGGTGACTGGGACATGGTAGGACAGAAAGGGAGCAGTGCCAGATGAAACTAGCAAAACTATCAGAAGTGAGATCTTAAAGCGTTTCATAGGGCATGCTAAAAGATCATTCACTCATCCACTGCATTCAACAAATATCTACTGAAGGCTCAATCTATTCAGGCACTGTTCTAAGTGCTGGAGACATGGCAGCGATTGAAGGAGGAAGAAAAACAGTATCCGTACATAGCTGAAATACTAGTGAAATACTAGCTGAAATACTAGCTGAAATACTAAATAAATGAGTAATATAAAGTGGGCCAATAATCCTACTGAGAAAAATAACATAGCTTTAGGTTGCTAGGCAATAACTTAACACAAAAGGTGCTGTTCTACTAAGCTGCTCAGGGAAAAAGTCATTATAAGGGACACTCAGGTAGAGAATTAAAGGATTTGAGATGCGAATAGAGTAGATACCTTGAAAAAGAATGTTCTGTTGTGCAAGAGTTTTCAATCTGGATGGTCCCCTAGAATTTGGGTAGTCTATGAACTTGATTTAGAAAAAATATTAAAATGTCACTTTATTAATCTCTAACTGCAATTTACTATTCTGTTTAATTTTGAATTTTATCAAGAATCCATAGGAGTCATAGCAACAGCGGTAATGTTACCCAAATAACTTCAAGGCATTTTCATTTTAGAGAACAGCGTTTGGATATTGTAAAAAAAATATTTACACTCACTACTATTTTGACACTATGGTCATTGTTATATCTGCTACTGGATCTTTGTTATTCTGATAAACTAATACAGAAACATATATGTTTTTATTAAACGCATTTAGCTTAAAAAGCATTTCGGTAGTTTCATCTTAATATACTTGGCTACACTTGTAAATCCTGTGAATTGTATTTTATGCATTATCAAATATCATTCTAGGCTTTGCCTGACTGCTAGACTTCCAGAGAGGGCTCCGGGGCGGGAAATGTTAAGATCCCCTGTGTTAGAGGGAATGGAGACAAAAAACCCTTTTCTAGGAATGTACTCGATGTGTTCAAGGGACAGCTCAGAGGTCAGAGGCAGAAGGAACGAGTTGGGGCAGTGGGAGGGAAAGGGTTGGGGGAGGTAGAAACCCAGATCACCACATCGTGGTGCACATACCCAATGAGAAACTAGTAAAGGGTTTAAAATAAGGAAGTAAAATTAAGAAAATTTGGAAAGCCTGATGATGAAAATAAATTAATTAAAAACTAATTAATACCTAGAAAAGTCTACCTGAGTGGTATAATAGACTTGCTCCCTATGAGAGCCACGAAAAGACATCATTTTCCTCCAAAGCACTTTGCTTGTTAAATCAAATGTTTCAGGGTCAAGGCTGTGCCATACTTTATCAGTTGAAAGTTAAACCATGTGAATTAGAACACTATCTAGAAACAATTTCCTTCACTGCTTTCAATTATCTACATGCTGAGCTTTCTAAATTTGTGCTTGTGTTTTGGTCCCAATAAATTTGCCTCCTTTTGTCTTGTCTTAATTTATTTCACATATGTGATATCAAAGTTTCCAGGGATAAGACTTGAAGTTAGCTAGAAACATTTATTGTCTTGTGTTCAAGGAAAGAAAGCAGATGTGTTTTTATCAGCTTTGCCATTGTGTGATTTTTTAACAACACAACCGCCTGGATGGTCCTGCATAGTGTTGCTCTGTTAAGCCTCATCCTCCTGGTTTGACATTCCTACTGGGCTACTTATTGTCCACTGTGAGGATGTTAATGGATGCTTCTGTCTTGAGACATGTGACAAATATATAACAGATCATAATGCTTTTCTTCCTATTGATACACACCTTTCTAGGTTAGATCTTTGGTATACTCACCATCTGTTTATTTTCCAGCTTATTGTCTTCCTCTAGCTAGGAAGGCACTGTTTTTGCCTGTTTTATCTCTAGTTTTTAAATAACTAAATCTAATGTTCTTTCTGCTACATTTCCAATAGAATATTTATTCTTTAGACCTTCCTTAGATTCAAAATTCAAGGAGTCTCTTAATGTCATTTTAGATTTTCTTTCTCTCCATTTATCTTTAGTTTGTCTGTCTTTCTCAATTGCTTGTTTGCTACATTCATTCTTTTATTAGCTGCTATTTATTAGGACTATTTACTGAAAAAATTTTTTTTGAGACTTAAAACACTTTTAAACAGAGAGAAATGAAAAAAAGGTATAGTGACTCACCAAGAGACATTACTCAAATTTCCTCTCAGCAGCTGGAATTTTGAATGGACTTCATAAAATTGAAATATCAGTTGAGGAACATAGACTTGGCTCTAACAATTGTTCGTTGATTGTTTCTGTTCATTCAATTATCAAACATTTGGGTCTTTGCTAGATATCAGGCATTGCAGCAGATATTTTGAGGCATTCAGGTGATCAGGCTTGGCATGATTTCATGTCTTCATGGAGCTTGCGATAGAATGGGAAATTGGGAATTAAGCAAAACTGTGAATAACATACTCAATTGTTATGAATTTTAAAAACTACCAAGATCCAGGAAGCCTAGGTGACTCAGTGGGTTAAGTGTCTGACTTTGGCTCAGGTCATGATCTCGTGGTTCCTGAGTTCAAGCCCCACATCAGACTGTGCTGACTGACAGAGCCTGTGCTCCAGTCTCAGAGCCTGAAGCCTGCTTCAGATCCCATGTCTCTCTCTTTCTCTGCCCTTCTCCTGCTTGCACTGTGTCTCTGTCTCTCTCTCAGAAATAAATAAACATTAAAAAATTAAAAAATAATACAAAGCAAAAACTACCAAGATCAAGAATGTAGTGGCAAATTATGTCATAAGCAATCAGCATGGCTTCTCTAAGGAGATGGTTTTAATGCTGACCTCTGAACAATACATGCTGATTACCTAGGTCTTAATAACCTGGGAGAGCATTTCCAGCAGATGGTTTAGAATATTCATGGAATTATAGTGAAAGCTGAGAGAATATAGGGCACTGTGCTAAGGGGTGAGATTAAAGAAGTAGGGAGAGCCAGATTGTAATGGGTATTGTAGGCCATTTTAAGAATTTTGAATTGGTTTCCATAGTAAATTGGAAACAAACGATTTATACAATGGAATTGATAGACATGATTTGTATTTTATAAAAGATATGTCCTGAAAATATTATGCAAAGTGAATTTGAGAAACGGTGTAAATACTGGAATTAAAAAAAAAATTAATGAGAGCTTTTAGTAATCAGAAAAGAAAGAAGAGAACGTGTTCTGGCAATACGAGGGAAACAAACAACAGAACTTGGTGTTTGATTGTGAATGGGATGAATAAGAGAGAGGAAGTAAGGACAAGTTAGAATTTTGGATTAAACATCTGGATGGATAGTTGTGCTTTGTATTGACCTAGAGGACACTGGAAGAAAATATTTAAAAAAAAATTTTTTTTAATGTTTATTTATTTTTGAGACAGAGAGAGACAGAGCATGAACGGGGGAGGGTCAGAGAGAGAGAGAGAGGGAGACACAAAACCCGAAGCAGGCTTCAGGCTCTGAGCTGTCAGCACAGAGCCTGACGCGGGGCTCAAACTCATGGACTGTGAGATCGTGATCTGAGCCGAAGTTGGACACTTAACCGACTGGGCCACCCAGGGGCTCCAAGAAAACATTTTTTGAAGGGAAGAAGATAATTATGATTTTACTTTGAGACATGTTAAGTTTGAGGTGTTAGTGAGAAAGAAAGTCAAGGGGAAATGCCGAGTGGTCAGTTAGGTGATATATGGATCCTAATTGACTGGTCAGGGTTTAAGACAACAAGAAAACACAAAACACAGAGACAGTGAACAAAACCATAGCTCTGTAGACAGTATGCACAGAACAAGGCCAGGAGAAGAGAGAGTGCTAGGCATTTAACATTCAGAGTTGATGAATCAACGGATGCATAAAAAGATGCTGCTCTTTTTAGTTGAAACTGGCTTCCTGTGCAGGGACTAGATATAGGTATGGGCATACGAGTTCACACTGGGTTATGACTAAATGAAGTTTTATAAGGGTGCTCCAGGCACTTGACCTGTTCCATAACCGCACGTCTTCAGTGCAAACATCTGGGAGGGCTGGAGGCCCATGTGACTGAAATGACAATACTGCATCCTAGAGATTGGGTTTTGCCAAACCAAGGCTCAGGTGTGGAGATTCCTGAAGAAAATAGAAACGTTTAACTCATTCTTGCAAATTTTCTTTATTTCTTTAATTTCTCCCTGCAGGAAATCTTCGTTAATCATTCAGGGGTGGGAATGGGAGAATGAAGACAGTGTGGAGAGGTAAACCGATACCAATGGCTGATTTGGGAGAACCTCTAACTCCTTTGAGACTTCTAATGAAGAACCTTTCGCTGCTGAGGAGGGTAGAATAACAACAAACTCACTGTCCTCCTTGCTGCACCACACCACATATTGACTTCTGCCTCATTGTGATATAAAGGAAAGAGGACCCAGAGGCAATGAATGGATCACCAGCCTCATGGGTTGAAATAGGTAAAATGTTGCAAGGGGTATTGCCTTTTCTCTTTTCCCCTTCATGATGAACCCATACGGAGGACTTAAAAATCAAGTTAAGAATTCACTTTCAATAAAATAGTGTCTCTTCAATACTTATTTGTTATTGCTACACCCCTTTCTGTTACTTTCTAAGATAAAGTACTAAAAAGTGCTAAGGGATGGCAGAAGAGAGATGTTAGAAATGTTCTAAATGCTAATCGATTAGCTTGGAATCTACTAGTATTTATAACTGACTTCTCAAAGAAAAAATAAAAAACAGTGCCATGAATGGATCTTTAGGCTAGATGCTGAAGGCCTTTACTAGCAATGGAGGGAAGATGAATATTAGCAAAGTTTGTAGAATTAAAAGGGTGTTGGCTCCTTGATGTGCAGATGTAGACAGCTGCATTATCTAACAATAATGATTTAATGTTCAATTACCAGAGAAAATAAAGGGTGGGGGGAGGGCAAGAATAATGCTAAATTAACTACACCCAAGATCCTTTGGTAATGTTCAGTACCTTTATGGGTACATGCACACATAAACATTTGCATGTGTGTAATGCTTATGGATTTATGATATACTGGTGACATCTTTTTGTTAAGTTTATTTATTTTGAGAGAGAGAGAGAGAGAGAGAGAGAGAGAGAGAGAGTGAGAACTGAAGGGGCAGAGAGAGTAGGAGAGAGAGAATATCCCACGCAAGCTTTGCACTGTCAACACAGAGTCCGATGTGGGGCTGAAATTCACGAAGCATGAGATCATGACCTGAGCAGAAATCAAGAGTCAGACCTTTAACTGATTGAGCCACCGAGGAGCCCCTGGTGACATCTTTTATGTAAACTAGACAACAGTGTTCCATAACATAGTCTCAATTTATTTGAACTATTTGGATGTGTAGGACATATAGAACCAAAAGTACACCATGAGAATTTAATGAGGAAGTACCTAGAACTCAATTCATTCAACCATTCCACATTTGCTTATTGAATGTCTACTGTCAGCTATGGTCCAGCCCTCTCATAGGTGCTCAGGATGCCGCAGTGAACAGAAGAAAGTCTCCACTCTTATGGAAATGACATTCTTATGAGGAGAAGTTGTAAATAAATAAATAAAGGTATCGAATATATCAGTGATGTTAAAGGCTATAAAAAAAAAAAAGTGAGGAAAGACATGGAGACTGATTATCAGGGTGGGGTGTGTGATTTTATACAGTCATCAGAAGGTCACATTGTAACAGAGGCTTAATTAAGGGAGAGAAGGGGACTCGCCAAAGTCTGGGGAAAGAGCATTTTAGAAGGAAGGAACAGCAAGAGCAAAGGATCTAAAGCAGAAACATGTTCTGTCTCTTCAAGAGCGAGGAAAAATGTCTTTCATATTCCACATGTCCTTGGATATTTTCTGCTTTTTTAAAACTGATATATTTTTTATTTTTCTATTTTTAAATGTTTATTAATTTTGAGAGAGAGAGCAGAACATGAGCATGGGAGGGGCGGAAAGAGAGGGAGACACAGAACTGGAAATGGGCTCCAGGCTCCCTGCTGTCAGCACAGAGCCTGACATGGGGCTTGAACTCAAGAACTGTGAGATCATGGCCTGAGACGAAGTTGGATGTTCAACCAACTGAGCCACCCAGGTACCCCAAAACTGATCTATTTTTTAAATTTTTTTAACGTTTATTTATTTTTGAGAGAGAGAGAGAGAGAGAGAGAGAGAGAGAGAGAGAGAGAGACAGAGCATGAGCGGGGGAGGGGCAGAGAGGGAGACACAGAATCTGACGCAGGCTTCAGGCCCAGAGCACAGAGCCTGACTTAGGGCTTCAACTCACAGACCACAAGTTCATGACCCGAGGCGAAGTCAGACCAGAGCCTGAGCTTAACTGACTGAGCCACCCAGGCACCCCAAAACTTATCTATTTTTTAAAGCAAACTTTCTTACAGAGCAAAAAAAAGGGATTATTTAAGTAAGGCTACAGATTAATTGTAATATAAGTAGATTTGATAGATTAAATCTATAATATTAGTTTTTACATAGGTAAGTATGAGACAGTGTGTTTCTTTTTCAAATTATGAAATTCTGTTTATGGTGGTCAGTAAAATGTTCCATTGAATATTTTTCCAACATTCAGTAATCATCATGAAATAAAATGTGTCTCTATTTCTGTGGTTCTCTTTAAAGTGATTTATTTTCAGGGTAGTTCTCTGCAAAATGAAACACATTCTTTCATCCATGCAATACAGAACAATGAAGTTCTATGCACCTTCAATACAGTTTGTGTCTTTATTTTTCAGTTTTCAGGTGCCTGCAAAATGTATTGGGGCTATGGAATGGGGAAGTTACCATCCATCCAAAAGTATGCCTGGAACTGGAGATTTCCCTCACAGCGGTAGCTTGGTACCTGGTAAGTGGTTTTAAGATTTCATCAGCCCATATTCTTAAAACACAGTTGCCTTCCCCTGGTTGTTCCATCACATGAAAAGAAGTAACAACTTTCTCTTCCTGTTAGTCTAGCTGCTTAAAAATAACACATTCCAGCAAGGAGGGAGGGAGATTACAAGCAACAGGACATATGAGACTTGCCAAGGGGGCCAGCATTTCCTGACTCACAATTGCAGGAAGGGCTTTGCTACATTATCAATGGGACCTGGATGCTTTGATAGGCAATTGTTTTAAAAGCTAAACAACATTTGCGGTTGAAATAGTGTGTGTGTTATACAAGGCTTGTGTGGAGGAAATATAGCACCAGATGGATCAGACAATAGTCTTGTCTGATGTTTTGTTCTGTTACTGGTAATAAAATAAAGGCTCAAAAAAATAGCCATATACAACTTTGCTTTTAATAAAGTCACCGTTGTTTTAGAGAAGAATAGTGGAACTGTCATGAACAATACAGATTTCCTTTGCAATAATTGCTGATTTTGAAATGTGCTGAGTTAAAA